TAATTATTGTAAAATGAGACAAGATTTTATTAAAACATTTTTCTCGACATTCTTTTTGACAATTTTCTTGTAAAATTCATTTGCTTTGTAATTGTAAACTTAATCCACACTAACTTTACTTCACTTATCCGTCTTTGTAATACATAATAAAATGTTGTTGTACCGGTATAGGTATAATATTAAATATATCACATCATAATGTAATTGTTGTTTGTTGTTAATTTCCTGATAATAATTGGAACACGCATATAGTAGGTATCAGTAATAAAAAACAGCTCACTTTGGCTATCAAAGTTTATTGTATCTGAGGTTGGTATACTTGTCAATTAACATGTTACTTGCAACATGTTGTGTTGTCAATTAATGTACTTGTTAATTAATATTAGTTTTCTTGTTAATAAACAAATACCGGTAAATTAACACAAAGGTGAAAATGTTTGAGATTTTAAGTTCTATCTTTGCTTCATTATACTTTAAGCATTTCAGTAATAAAGCTTTGAATTTTAATTTACATTCCCGTAGTACAAATAAAGCAAGTAAGACTTTCTCTGTGAATTATAATTGTATTTGTTGACTTTTTTACGATTATTAATCAACTTTATTGTACCTAGGCTAGAAAATGTTTCCACTCTTTTAATAGCAAAAAAATTGATAACACATGGACCCGGTATTGATTTACTTTTTCCGTTTTGATGTCTCCATAGGTGAAATAAACCATTCATTTAAATTCATACACAGTAGATATCCTCATAGATCATAGATAGATAATAGTGTTCACTGGTTACCTTTCGGGGTGAGCCAACTTTGTTATTTTACATGTTTCACTAAATTTGCCTCCCCACTAAGATGGTCGTTCATATATTTACAGGGGAGTAATTTGGTGTGTGCGTATCACTATTTACTAGATGTGTTCTTTTTCATTTTCTAAAATTTAAATTCTTAATGTTAATGAGGATTTAAAAAAGGCTCAAACAATTTTGATTAATATCAAAAAGTCATTGCAATTTTTGTAATTTTGTTAAAGTCTACCCACAAGACTTAGCAACATCCATAACAAATTGTATACAAAAAAAAAAATTCTTTGAAAAATCTTTGCAAAGTTTGTGTGTGACTCTATATTGGTAACAACAATATTGACAATCCTATCAGTGTTGGGTCAGGTCAGTTTAAGAGCTCAAGGTTTCAGACTGGATCAATACAGAAATGTTGGCACTTTCACTTCCCTGTCTGCCCCTGCATTCTCCAAGGTAGCATTCTATCTATCTACTAGATAGTTTATCTCATGTTTTGATAAATAGGCAAATGACATAGCAAAGCAATCAGAAATCCTTTGATTATTGTAGTTAAACATGCAATGTACTTATCATTGTAAACTGAATAAACTGATTACAACTGTATCAAAATGTATTATTGTCAAGGAATATTCATCAAATTTTACTTTTTTGGTTAGTTAATTTATGTCATCTCTTGGTACTGTAGTATCAGGAAGGATATGTAATTAATAAATTCATTTTTATGTTTTACCAAAAATATCTTTAGCCAAAATAAAAAAAATGTTTTATTTAAAACAAGTGAAAGTATGACAAAATATGAATTGACAGAAGATATGTGTCATTTTATATAAACTCATTGAGCAGTATTGTAAAAGGTCCTTAAACAATAATATTTTCCTTCAGTCACCCATGGGCTTCCTTGCACTGATTATAGTACAGAAAGCTGCTAATTGCTGTGTAAGGTTATTAAAATTGCTTACCCTTAAGCATTTGATCACACTGTACAATACCTCCTTTCAGACATTGGAAGGTTTTGACAGATTGTACGAGTAACTTGTGTTTTGACTGTACTTTGAGTATAACCATGTACAACTTTGACAATGGATGTAACAAATCTAAATTGTTCAAAAGATATGACGTTCTATTTTAGATTTGTTACACCCATTGTCAAAGTTATACTCAAAGCACAGTCAAAACACAATTTACAATCTGTAAAACGCTCCAATGTCTGAGTTTCTGCCACTCAGTCACACACCTCATCTTATCCCAACTAAAGTTCTTCAAGTTGCTCCTACAGTACTACTTTTGGTGTAGAATCAGCAGTCCTCTCCAAGAGCAGTTGTACACTAACACTACTTACTGCTGTTGTTGGAACACTTGTTGTTTTGCTACCACAAAACATATCCTAAGACATACAAGGTGTAGTTTATGCAACAATTTTAGGCTTGAGTCATATTGGGTGTGAATTGATTTTCTATTAGTTGAGCAATTTACAAAGGTCAGAGGCGTCATGTGACTCTTAGATTTAGGGCACAATCAGGATACCAGGCTTCCGGGAGGGGGGGGGGGGTAATACCCCCACAATACTTTGTATAAATAACATATGAGAACCACTTTAGAAAGTGGAAGAAATGTAATTTTAATTTGAATTTTTATTGTTGGTTGGCTACTATAATTAACTATTTTGCTTGTGCCCCTATGTTGTGGCGCTTACAGGGCCGTCCGAAGGGGGGGAGGGGGCAACCGGGGCAAGCTGCCCCAGGCGCCGTCGCTGAGGGGGCGCCACGCAGGGGCTATTTGTATTAACATAGTATTGAAATATGGGAATGCGACTATTATTACTGGGGGGAGGGGGCGCCACAACCACGTTTGCTCCGGGCGCCGCCAACCCTAGGGACAGCCCTGGGCGCTTATGACAATGGTGGTTGCCAGGAATCAGGCATGTTTCTTTCAGAAGGGAGGTCCATCAAGATGGATGCTGCAAAGATTTGTCTGCATTCTCTAATTAGTGTGACACAGGAGGTTTGACAAACTTATACAGTACACTCCCTCTTATCCGGACTCCTCGGGACCGAGGCCAGTCCGGATAACGGGTTTTCCGGTTAAACCGACGTCCCCAAAAACTTGTTAAAATCAGACCGTTTACTCAGATATTCAACTTAAATTTAGGAGAGCATTGTATTTATTCATGTGATAACTGGTCTCAAATCTTTCCCACGAGAACAGTTGTTTCAGTACAGCCCACTTCCTGCCGATCTAGTCCGGTTAAACCAATGTGCTGATAAAAATTGTCCGGTTAAAGAGATGTCATTTCCGCCGAGTGTAGTCCGGTTAAACAGATATCCGGTTAAAAGGTGTCCGGATAAGAGGGAGTCTACTGTATGTCAAAGATCAAAGGTACGGTACATTAAAATTCCAAGAACTTCTTCCATGGTGAGGTGTGTCGTTCTTTTAGATTCAACAATCTTTTGAACAGAACACTGCTTTTAGCGAATTTCCCGATAGGTAAGTAGCTATTACTGTACCGTAGGTCTCATAGTAAGACTTAGGCCCTGGAAAGTTTTCATTTTGATGTCCCCAGAGGCCAAAAACTCCATCCCTTTAAAATGTTATATTATAGTAGTAACGATAGTAAAACTATGAGTAACCTGAAATAATTATTATATTTTTAAAGTTCTTTTTATATACCGGGCGTCCCATACTCCCACTGGTTAATTTTTGAACAGCTGCATATATTCAAACGAGCTTTGATACACATATATCTAGGGTAATGTAAAGTACTTTTTGGTGGTATTTTGGAATTCACCCCTAATAGGGGTTGCTGGGGGTAACTGAAAATTTTAAAACGCCAACCTCTATCAAGTTGCACATCATTTTAAAGAGCTTAAAAGGCAATTAATGCCACAAATCCGTTTTTGATACGACGATTTTTCAAACAGTTATGGCAAGAAATGTTAGCCATCAGTTTAACTGGAACTTTACATTCCATCACTTTTATTTTTTTCATGGCTGTAAATTTTCAAATAACCTTCAGTACACGGGGCTAGGATGATGTCATTCACTTTTTAACATGATTTTTAATTTCATCACTCACCCTCAAATAGGGGTTGGTTTAAAAAAAATTAAAACCCTAACAGCAACCCCTTTTTTGGGGTGTGTGGGGGTGACATTAAAAATCATGTTAAAATGGGCATGATATCACCCTAGCACATGTACTACTGAAGGTTATTTGAAAATTTACAGCCATGAAAAAAATTAAAGTGATGGAATTTAAAGTTTCAGTTAAAGTAACATACAACATTTCTTGCCATAACTTTTTTTAAATTCCTCGTATCAAAGTCGGATTTGCGACATTAATTTCCTTTTTATAGCTCTTTAAAGTTATGTGCAACTTGATAGGGGTTTCCCAATTTCTCTCTAAAGCATTTTGAAGAGCTTCGAAAACAAATAATTGATATGTTAAAGTTTTTTTTGGTTACGGAGAAAATTCAAAGTATTGTAAATTTGAAATCTCTGTGTTATTCTTATGGAGAATATACCGTTGTGGGTTGCTTGTTTATTAATTTTATCTCAGCTTTTAATGTTTTACTAAAAACATACTCTATTAGCCTCCCTATAGCAGCAAACCTAGGTACTCCTTAAACCTATAATGATATTATTAAAATAGAATTAATTTGGAAATCAAATCAGAGAAACGGAAATTTGCTCAGTCTGCAGGTTTGCTGCGACAGGGGTAATTTATCATTTCCCTTTATAGCCAATAAATTAGACTTGGTGACACAACCTTTTCCAATATTTAACATTGTGTAGCTTCTAAATGAGTCGACTTAGAAAAGATGAAAATGAATAAAAAAGTTTTAAAACTACTTGGAGATAAAATACAGAGTGGAGTGTATTCTATTAGAAATCTTTTAGTTTGGTATCTCTTATGTAAAATCAAATTCTTATAATTTATAAAATATTGTCATAAAATCTCAATAGATATAAACTTCCCCATCGAGATACCCAAGGTGGCAAAGGTAAGAAAACATTTTTCAAATTCTGCATGCAATAGCCTAAAACCACTGGTCTGGAGAAAAATAATATCCAGAGTAAAAACGTTTTAAAATTGCATAGCCTACATTTTTAAAACATCATAAAACGCAAGGTGTGCTTCCTAACAGATTATAACCGTCATGTTTAGGTTCAGGTCAGGTTCTTGGTCTGTAAAGATATAGGCACAATCAATACACTGCTTCATTGTGTATTTTTATTATTAAAACATATAAAAATACAACAAATATAAAACATTGATGCCTTTGGCACAAATGTAACATGATAAAAGGAATGGATGACTATGAGAGGATAGGTAACATCAGCCAATGTAAACATAAACTAAATAAAACATACTCCGCAAATCACAGGCTAAGTAATACAAATTCTATACAATTTCAGATAAAAATGCTGGAGCTAAAGCCGCTATAGATAACAAATACTCTTGTAACACTGTTTTTCTTAACAAATATTAATTTTTAAATAAAATAATAAACTAACAAAAACAAGCAGACATATCATGTTGTCTTTAAAAAATTGAGAGAATTGTCATAATTTTTGTTCTGGAAAATATAGGAAACTTTTTGTCATTTATACAAATATGTATTTACATTTTATACTCTATATAAATTTACACCCAAATGAATCAAATTCTCAAGTCGAATGGGGAAAAAATAGCACAGGTAAGCCTTTTTATGAGATTCACACATAACAACATAAATTGAATATTTTGACAGATTCTCGACATAAATCATCCACACACAGCTATATAACAAAGGAACTCTTTATACAATTATTTTCATGTTAAAAAAATTATGTGTTGGAAATAATATTTTCCAAATTTTTGGTCAGTTTATAGAGCTTTTTACTCCTTTATGATGTTAAATATGTAGGGCTATGCACAAAACTTGAATAGAGCTTTTTCAAAGCAGATTTTGCCAGCTTATAACACTTATCGATTCATTTAAGGCACTAAGTACAAAGCTATCAACATAGGCGTGTCCATGGACGGCACCCTTTTTAGAGCCAGACCTTTAAAAAAAAAAATAGTACTGAAAGGTCTGGCACGTCCATTTCCAAGATCCTGGAAACGCCTATGTGATATTAACGTCATCACAAAACCATTGTATTCCTCACACACTAAAATTGGCGGTATCTTATCAATAACAGTAGAAAAACTTAAAGTATTAAACTTAAGAAAAGAACAAAAAGTTAAATTCTATAATTAATAACTCAGCCTAAATCTAAATCACAGATATCTTTAATACTTAAAACAAAAGTTTTTCCAGCAGTGAATATGATGGAAATCAGTTCTCAGACCTTAAAATTGTCAAAATCATATTTGGTAGAGCCTTCCATAAAAATAATCTATACTACACATTAGTGGTTGGTTTTATTTTCAGAAGATTCTTCATTAAAGGAAAAATCTCACTTTATAAGATGGATCATTTTTGTTTCAACGTAAGTTGGTTAAATTGTTGTAGAGGCGCAGGCGAAAGTCAGTCTTGTTTGATAAGATTTTATACGATTAGGAACACTTAGAGAATGGCAATGCTGATTTACAGTCAGATTTGATATTCAGAAGATGAACCCTCTTCTATCCTGCTCAGCCTATCTCCTCTGCCTAGGAGTTTTACCTTTGACAACAGCACAGACACATTACCTGGTCGGTTCTGCTCCTCGGGTCGTTGGTTTTGACTAGATCCAAGTAGAGGATCTTCGATGGACCTCATCTCTACGTAGTCAGCGGACGACTTTCTCAGATCTTTAGCTTCTTGGCTGTAGTAGTAAGAGACTTTTTTAAACTCCTCATCGTGGAAGTATTCAAGTAACGTGACTATCTGCATGAACTTCATCCTCTGTGAGGGTTTTGCTTTCCAACAAGACACCATGATGTTCCGCAATGTCTCTGGACACTTGTTGGGTGTGTCGAGCTTTCGTCCGGCTATCACCTCTTGTAGGACTTGGTCGTTGCTGGATCCTTGATACGGCTGTTCTGCCAGGGTCGTTATCTCCCACAACACCACTCCGAAGCTCCACACGTCTGATTGGCTTGTAAACACTCCATCTTTCAAACTCTCGGGTGCCATCCATCTAATCGGTAGAAGACCTGTGCTGTTCTTTCTATAGTAGTCTGTTTCATAAACGTCTCGAGTCATTCCAAAATCTCCAACTTTAACAACGCAATCTTTATTTACCATACAGTTCCTCGCTGCCAAATCTCGATGAACATACTTTTTTGCTTCCATAAATGTCATTCCGTCAGCTATTTGAAGGGCCATGTTTATCATGGAAGCATAAGTGGGAGGATTAGAATCCCTTGTCGATCTAAGGTAAGTTTTAAGATCACCGAGCTCCATCAACTCCATGATAACCAACGGTGGATGTCCTTCCGAGACCACACCGAGCAAGTGGACGATGTGGTAAGCTTTGGAAACATTCTTCATCACAGATGCTTCGGTCAAAAATACAAAAGTGTCGTATGGAGAAGCGTTGTCGTTCACAGTCTTCACTGCACACGGGAGGTTTTTGGGTCTCAGGATACCTTGATAGACTTTCCCAAAAGCCCCTATACCTAGTTCACTCACAAGTTCCACACTTTCTCGAGATATTTCCCATTCATCTGGTATGTAATGGTAATCTGGATTGACTGAAGCGATTAATACGGGCCGTTTCTTTTTTATCAAGATCATAAAAATAAGTCCTATGAAAAATAAAAAACTGGACGTAATTATGGCTCCAAAAAGTGCATAAAAAACTGAAATAGGTGTGTTTGAAATCTTGAAATAAATATAATCTGAGAATTGACCTTTGCCAGCCAATGAGACTGCACGGACTCTGACTTTGTAAGCGCCTTCAGCCAGTCCTAAGATGGAGAACTTTCGGTGACTATACTCAAACTCAGTAGTAGTAATACATGTGACTATCGGGTTGGTATTGTCTGAACCTAAATTTATATGTTCAATCTCATAAGCTACTACTAAGCCATTAGGACTTGAGGGTTCAGTCCAATATAAAATTACAGAACTGTTTGACTCTTGATAAGATATAGAGCTGTCAATTCTATCTGCCAAGTCATCTTGCCTTGTTCTGACAGTGGCTATGTCCGTATTGCTGCAGCTGTTGTCTTCGGACTTGTCTGGTTCATTGGGATCTATTTCTCTGCAAGCTTTAATTGTTATTAAATAATCTTGAAAATGCAAAACCCCATCTATCATAAAGGTTGTCTTATTCCCAAGAACACTTGCTGTGAATATTTTGGTTTTTTTAAAGTCAATATTGTATGAGTTAGTTTTCTTGAGTTTTTGTACAGTCTTTATTGTGGCAGTCAAGTTCTTTTTAGCAGTATGCAGTAAGGGATCTTTGTAGACAAGTGAATAAAAACACGATTCACAAGAATGTATAGAGAAGTCTTTTTCAAGTGGGCAGTGATCAAAGTTTGAGCAAAGTTTTTCAAACCCATCTTTGGGTAAAAGTAGTTGCTTATTTTGACTTGCAGGGCAGCAGCTGTCTTCTTTGTTGTTAACATCTGTTACAGCTTGGTTATGTGTTTCAATCTCACTAGTGTAATCCAAAGGGTTTTCACAATAATTGCGAAGTTTGATTTGGGATTCATCATAATGTAGGCGCATCCAAGTTATAACAAATTTTTCTAGTTTTCCATTAATATGTTTCGGAGGTTCCCATTTCAATGTGATTTCTGAGCTTTTATTTGAGGATACAACAAAACTTTTCATTTCTGACGGTTTGGCCGGCAGTGTTTTTTCATAATACATTGAGCTTTTAGCACCATAGCGGTCTATAGTGTAAGTAGTTACATAAAAAGCATATTGAGTAAAAGGTTCAAGATCAGTGAGATTGACATGAAATCCTTTCTCGTCGTAACGGTCGGAAGGATCAATAGCAACATCTTTGGTCCTCCAACCGTAGTCAGAACACTGATCGAGATCATCAAACATTGTGATATTTTGATGCGAGGCTTTGGTAAAGTAAACGACATAACGAAGGATAGTCATGCCGTAGTTAAGTTTCAAATAAGGTACATTAATCTGTATTAAACAACTAGACTTAAACGTTACACTTAAATCTATTTCAGTCGCATTGCAAGGGAACTTATCCCCATTTGAGTCTTTTCCGACCTCCAAATTGCTGACATTCGTGTCATGGTGGATCACAGTCAACAGCCTATGAATGTGCTGAAGGCAAAGCTTAGGATTGTAGTGAAAAAACACTTTACCGTTCATGATTTTAAACCCACGCTTACTATCCCAATCCCACAGTTCTTGTAGGTTCGGATTTTCGAGTACCAAGAGAGAGTAATTGTCCCCAAACCCAGCATCACTTGATTTCCCATGAATAACAGTTAAATTCTTCAAAAACTTCAAATTCACTATAGGGAAACTCCTCACAATTTTCAGGTAGTTTTCTATTTCCTCGATGGACCCCAAGTTGTCTTCCAACTCCTTAAAGACAATCTTGGGTTTGCCAGTTCTGATGCTGATCTCCAGGGATCCCTGGATGTGAGTGCAGCCTCGTAGCATCTCAGCGTCTCCGATGTTCTCAATGGACTGTCCGTGGCACCACTTGTGGCACTTGCCTCCCTTGCACGGCACACAGGTTGTGCCAGCAGCATCAAACTCGTAGCCAGGAGGGCAGTTATCTGTGCAGGTGCCGTTGAACACGATGTACTTGGAGACTTGTGTTGAGAAGGACCTCAGTGCCTCGCTACTTGATCCTTTTGGCAAGTCAATTGCTGTACACTCCTCCCTCCTGATGCATCGTCGGTTCAGATACTGATATCTAAACAAAAGCATACATTTATTATTTTACAAATAGTCATAAACAGACACTAGTGCTTTTAAGAGATTATTAGTTAATCAATAAATGAATAAAAGGGCTAAGAGATGCTTCCCTTGAATTGTGCAGTAACTTCACAGACTTCTTCAGAATGGACCCGGACCCAGGGGTGTAAGAAGTTTTAGGTTTTTTGGGTGGTGTAAGGAAGAGATAAATATCTTGCACGGAGGGGGTAAGGGCACAATTATTTCGCGGGCCCTTGACTCATCACATGCTGACTGGAATATATCTTATCTATATAACGCTAATAAGGATCATGACTTTTGAGAAAACCGTAAACTGCACACTTGAATGAAAGGTCTAGATGTGAAATTTCCCCGAAAAATATCACTTTTTTGATAAATAACCTTCTTCTAGGACTTGATAACATTTTAAATACCTATTGAATTTATGTCATCTGTTTGATATGTTTTAATTTATAACTAACTTTTTATTTACTTTTTTCTGAGTAAATCTTTTGATTCTTATCATAGATTTTCCTATATTGCACCATGAAAATAATATATTTCATCACTAGGGCCAAAAGTGGCTCTTTTTATCCCGAGGTCAAGCCTTCTTACAATCGAGGTGAAGCCGAGGTCGGAAAGTGAGCGAGGGTTAAATAGACACTTTTTGCCCGTGTGGTGAACTATATTTTTGGTCATAATGCATAATTAATTAACGAAGTAAGATAGAAAACGAAATAATTTGTATGTAAAGATAACCTCTCAAAACGACTTCCATCTTGATTTCAATTCTGCTAATGCAAATAAAGCAGCTGTTTCGTAAGTGATTAAATCATTTTGTCTGTTACGATTGTGTTACAGTACATTATACCATCTAACGATCGACAACAATAAGATAACACCTTACCTAATAAACCAATCGATACATAATTTTGATCAATACGATTGCCACAATCGAAATTTAAAACTGTTTACAACAGCTGATTTTTACTTTCTAGGGACTAAAAATGATTGTTACTCCCAGGGGAAGTAAAAATGCTACTTTAGACCCGCAACACATGCATTGAAAACGGCTGTTTTTGCTGCAGTATGACGAAAAATAATTATTTCAGATGTGGTATCTATTTGCTTTTAGTGTTGAAAACTTGTAAATATTTATATCTTCCTAGTGATTGCATATTAGTCCGTTCCAAAAGATGTTTTTATGCTTGCTTAAATAAGAAGAAATAAACATTAAACAAACAAAGCATCCTCTACAAAAACCGAAAAAATATGTGTTAGCAGATACACATGTCTATAAATGTATAAAAAAGTACGTTTAGCTATGATAATACTAAGAGTACTAATTAATCGTTTGTATTGTAAAGAACTATATTTTTTTTTCTTCCCCTGACTTAGCACGGTAAAGCAACTAGTATGAATGGTACTACACATGCTCATACCATACTATTTCATTGAAATTAGATGGTAGGACATAAATTTTCAAACCCAAAAATGTCTTGATTGCTAGAATGGTCATGGCTTTCTCCCATCATGAAAGATTTAACATTTATATAATTTGTGTATTATTCCAGCTTTAAGAACGAATAATTAATAAATTAGTTTACTTTATGGTTGCCAGATTCTTGAAAAATTTTTGATTTTTTGCTCTATGATCATTTCGCCACAGGTGTTGTGTTATGTAATATAAACTGTGCTTCTGAAGATGCCACACATGTGGCAAAATGATCATCAGAGCAAAAAATCAACAATTTTTCAAGAATCTGGCAACCATAAGGTAAACCAATTTATTTAACATTTCTAAACTAAGATATATTTGAAATCAAGTAAAATTGTTATGAGACATTGAAGATTAACTTAAGCACTGTAAAAACTTTTTGCAATCATGAAATGGATTAGTGCTTTTTCATGCAATTTATAGATTGATGGTAAACTTTACACATTAGGAAAATTAAAACTTAATAAAACTAAGATTAAATTTAACCATTAACTTTGGAGAGTGATTAATGTTTTGAAGCTTGGCTGATGTGATGTAAACAGTGAATAATGAGTAGATATAATTATAGTTGTCAACTTGTTAATCTGTGGTTAAACTATGCAGCTCTAGTTATGTGGTAAGGGTACTTGATGTTGGAGGAGGGTAATGAAATCACAGTGTGTGTAAAGTGGGAAAAGTAGTCTTTGTGGTTAAGCCAGGGAGGGAGAAGGGAGGCAAACAAAAACTAACCTTTCCGAGATATACTAGACAAGAAAAGAGGGTAGGTGAAGAATCCAATGGGACTTATGACTGAGGACTACAGTCGGGCCAGGTGTAGGTCCTTGACAACTTGATTACGGTACAGTGGCAAAAGTCGCGTACGTCCTGTAGTCAGGAAGGTGGGATGAAGAATAGCTTAGCCCTATATATGGCTACAAACCATCGAAACCATCTTTAAAGATAATGTACGCAAATTTGTTGATGAGCGCACAGATACTTACGTTCCTAGAGGGCAGTTCTGGACACATTCACCATCAGAAGTGAGGACTCTACCACAGGAGTGACAGTTCCTAGGTCCTGGGCCAGAACATCCTCCTACACATAGAGGGTGACAGTGTGAGGACTCTGGCTGTACCTAAAACACAGATACACTGTATGTATAGCAGTAGTTTTGGAATGAGTTAAATTACTAAATCGGGAAATTTGTGAGTGTGTATTAGGGTAGTCGCATTTTTATATATTTTGTAATATACGTCTACACCCTGGTACCTGTTCGTACCTAAATAGAGGTGTGGTCTCCCTTTGCTTTCCCTGCTAACATGAGTTTAGCTGATTACCAGCATGAGGGAAACACCCCATTGCCTGGGCAGGTATTGTATGTGCTTAACAGTCTGAGAGTTATGATGGGACTTTTTGAGGACCTCACCAGGTATTCCATTAGGCCTAGGAATCCATTACAGGGATTACAGGGATACGTTAGTCTTTACCTCCTGAAGACTGAAGAGTGGGACGTCATCCACTCTTCGGAACTCCCCCAGTGGGTGAAGTGAGTCGAGTGTTTCAAGTAATCTTATGACTCATGACACTTACTCACAATCACACCCTATAGTTGTGTGTCTTGTTGACTCACCTGACACTCAGTTCTACTCCAGCACAGCCCCTGGGGACAATCTGCCTGGCAGCCTGGACAATCTGCGGAGTTCTTGTTCTTCGCCACATAGTTCTTGACTGGATCCCACCTAGCTATCGTCTCCCAGCTGACAGTGTTGACGTAGCACAATGCTGCAAATAAAAAATATTATTACTTTTTTTTCATTGGATTTTTTATTTGTTTTAGTAGCATTGGCATTTTTCTTCAAGTGAACAGTACAAACCCTGGTTTTGAACTATCTAACTTCTAATTTTTGTTAAATAGCATTAATTGATGCTCTAGTGAAAATTACATTTAGGTCGAAAAAATTACACACAACGGATTCATACAACCATATACAAAAGAATTGGTCTCTTTAAGCACTAATTGCACAGATAATTGTTGTGGAAAGTAATCTCCAAAACAGGGACATTTCTGAAGATATTGTCTGTTTTACTTTATAGGTGTTATCTACAGCTTAAGAAAATCTATAATGTTAGAACTTGATTTCAAAAACATCATCACTTCAATAACCAAATTGGATATTTCCACCTAAAACTCATACTCTAACATTTTTAACAAAAACAATACCCTCTTCACATACTGTATGTGTAGAGGGAAAAAGTAAAAAGGAGAAAAGGCAGAAGAAAGCCAGGATGCTAGTTACTGGAGGCCACCAACCTCTTAATGAAATGCTAGTTTTTCACACACTATCCTTATACTGTTACACTGAATCAATGGCAACTCAATTTCAAAGATTAAGGAAGGTTATTAATTTAGTAAGTTGTGTATGTAATGTCACCATAGCTCGATAATCGACAAATGCTTTCCTTCAGTTTGATGAATGAGTTTAATCTAAGCAAAAATATCCTAGGGCAAAAAATAATACTATTATACACCAAAACTTAAAACAGACACCTGATCAAGCATCTCAAGTTTCGTAGTTTTATTTTGTGCATTTGCATTTCACACCCAATAGCTCCAACTCGAAGGCTATAAAGTTGTTGATCGAACGACCCCCCTCCCCCTACCCACCTCACAGTCACAGGCTGATGCTGGTAATTTGCAGCATGTAAGCAACATAAACTAAGAAGTAAACACACAAAGAGCTCGCAGAGCTGCTAGTAGTGTGTGTAAACAAACATCTGTGTTTGTATACCTATGTATCCTAAGAAGAAAATCAGTGGATTACACTTCACACTGCGCTGCTGATTATAATCATTGATCTGACGTACACTGTGTGTATGGTCAATAGATGCAGACATTGATTCACAAGGTATAACCCTGAAAGGCACTGCTCCAAAACAGAGACTCAGTTTTAAAACTCTTTTTTCCGAGCAGTGTCTTTCAAAGTTAAACTAGTAAAGCAATGTCTGTATCTCTTGACTATACAAACAAAGCGTTCTTTGTGGACCAATGTCTTAGAGTCAGACTTTTTCGCAGCACTACCTTTTGGAGTAATGTGTTTTGGAGTAATGTTTCAGAATTATATATGTTTCGGAGTAATGTGTTTCAAAGTAAATGCCATGCACTGGTATAGTTGGGATTTTATTACCAACTGCGTCGTGCCATAGCACTTGCAATAACTTTTATGCCGTAGCTGAACAGCTCATTGTGTACCTTATCTACAGAGAGAGAGAACTATGAATTAACATATAGAGAAACCTTTTGTCACAACACAATAGTGAAAACGTTTATAATGTAAATTGTTATCAGTGCATTTCTAGAGCTTGTGTGTCAATTATATCTGCTCCTTAGAAACCAGATGCAGTCTTTGTTATCTCTGTTCCTTTATAATTTGCTCAACACTGTACTAATACCACAGAATGTTTATCTATGCTAATACCATTGTGTATACTTATGTTACATACCAGCATGTGTAACTATTCCATTTAAGTGGAGGTTAGTATATAGGTGAATGGGTCGCTGTGGGATACACTACTGTAAACATTTCATTTTTATTAGCGAATTTCCCATACAGGGAATAAGCTATTACTGCTATTACCGTAGGTCTCATGGTAAGACCTAGACCCGGGACCGATTTACTTACATGTTATAACTATTGGATCACCATTACGATAGACCCATGCTGCAATGGGTAAGACCTCAGGATAGAGTGTTATTTGACAATAGGTAATGACACGAAATGATACGAAAAAATAACAAAATCTTGTTAAACCACACGTTGTAAGACTTAAAAACGCAGTTCTTTTTCAATAGCTAGCGGTGGTTCGTTTGAAGCTCAAGAAAGAAGATGTAAAAATCTTGCATAACAGACTCTAAACGTCTTGTTTGCCCTAGAATGGTCTCTAATAGAATTGCTTCTTCGCTTCCGTCCTCTCTGAAACCTTATATCAGGAATACGAATACAATACCTTTAGAAATGCATTCTAGAAAATCTATCTCGTTTGAATACAGCAAAAATAGAAAAATTGTATACGACCCACAGATTGAAAATGAAGACATTGTATACGAAGTATCTGATCCACCACCAGAAAATAAAACAGTGTATGTATACTAGCTCTTGATCCGACGACCAACATTGATATTGAAAGACATTCTATACTAGATGCAACAGTTATAACACCCAAAACTGTATGATCATTTTAGTAAATCATTTTTATAAAGTTTTTATCCTCAAGTAATTGTATTTATTACCTGTGCGTTGCTGTTGAAAGTTGGTATTCGTGGGATTTGAACATAAATTTGCCTATTTTTTAACCAACCATGAAAATGTTTATGGTTTTTACTAAGGTCATTGGAATTTTTACGTTTTACGAAAGAAAACATTTCTCTGTGTGTTTTTGGTGGTTTTCCAGCTTAGGATGAGTATGTGTAGGTCAAACTAATCATGTTATATTTAGTTATTTTCTTATATGAGGTGGGAACAGATTCCAGATTTTAGAACTTCATGAAAGCTTATTGCGAGTAAAACCTTCCTGAATAATCCTTCAAACAACTACCATCACGAAAAAGAGCCACTTAAACTTTCAACAAAGAGTGATTGACTAGACCAGATAAAAGGTTTTCTCTCTGAGACATGTACAGTACCATAGATAAAAGAGTAGGTGTTGTACTCTTATCTTTAATCTATGCAGGTATAACTATGCTAACTAAACCGGATTAAAGTTATGTTTTTAGGAAAAAGCATTTAGCTTGGATTAAATAAATAAATATAGGATGGAGAGGACACAGCTAACTCACCTGATGAAAGGTTGCAGATGAGTCAAAGAACACATAAAATCACACACATAATTTACTTAATATTTCGCCTCTTTCAGAGGCTTCTTCAGAAGTAGGCCTAGATGGTAGTTACAAAACAACAGTTTAAATGACAACAACAGTTTAAACCGGATTAAAGTTATAGGTCAAGGCAACTTAACGGCTAGTTGGACGTGTTGTGCATATGTACCTTTGTGAAAATATTTGATTTTTATTTTAGCAAAGATAAATACCGTTTGTATAATGGATTTCCTGAAAATATCAAATTCTTTGTACTTATTTCCATTTGAGTGAACTATTAGATATTTTTAACAGTCTTTCAATTCCATTTAAGTGGAGGTTAGTATATAGGTGAATGGGTCGCTGTGGGATACACTACTGTAAACATTTCATTTTTATTAGCGAATTTCCCATACAGGGAATAAGCTATTACTGCTATTACCGTAGGTCTCATGGTAAGACCTAGACCCGGGACCGATTTACTTACATGTTATTCTTAAGGAGAATAAATAAACTGTTGTATTTTGCTTGTTTATTGATATTTTGAACCAAATTTGGGAATTTTGTTTATTTCATACTAAGCTATCAACATTGCAATATCAAACACGCCTCGATTTCTTCCCTGTAGCAGCAAACCTAAGTGCTCACTAAAATAATGTTATTTAAATAGGAAATAAATCTGACAATTTTTAGGGAATATTTTAGTAGAAATCCAGCCAGGTAAATAGAAATTCGCTTAGTCTGCAGGTTTGCTGCGGCGGGGGTATTTTTATAGTTTCGGATACTTTTATCATTCATTTCCGATACCTATACCAGGAGCTATAGATTACAGTTAATGTTCCTTTCAGCTTGGCTCGGTTAAAAACTCGATGTATACGACAGAAATCAGTAATTTGGACTTCAGCATTACCTATCAGTAACACAATTAATCTACGTTCATTTTCATTCTTAAATTGGTTAAAGCACTACAATCTGTATATAACTAGACAAAAAGAGTTAAATATAGACCGCCAGCTGTGCTGCGGTAACCATAGGTTCTGGCACACACCGCTGGGAGCGCTGTTTAGATACGGCCTACGCACTACGTAACTACATGGCGCTCCCAGAGGTGTGCGCCAGAACCTATGGTAACCATGGTAACCACAGCACGGCTGAGGGCTGACAGTCTATATGCTTCTTGTTGTCTATGATAATACTCTGTTACTCTCCGTAGTCAAAGACGGTGTTCCGAATGTGACTGCTTTGTAAACAGGATTCAAGTAATAGGCCAAGGCAACCTCTATTGCGGCAAGCAATCTTTTGTGCTCAAGATTGCGAACGTCGAGCCCTTCTTTCGAGGTTGTCCGGTTTCGGCGGTTGTTGGCCTACGGAAGATACCGCCTTCCTAGCAGCATTCTTACAAGACAATCCGGTTATAGATTTATGGCTCGATTTAAATACCGTTGTAAACACCGCTTATTGACCATGCATCGCCAATTGTTTGCTTTTAGCAGTGCTTGGAATTCCGACATCGGCCGGCAAAGCTATTGCAGTTTACTTATCGATGATTTATCGGTAAATCGGTAGGTGAATATAAAATGAAAGTTTATACTGTCGTTGTTAAAAAATATGTTACCAAATATTAGGATACAGCACTTATATATTATAAAAATAAAACGAACTAATATTGGTGAGGTTATTTTCTTACCTTGTTAAATCAATGGTTGATTAATCGCAGATAATGTCTACATAAGTTTTTATTTGTGAGTTGATTCTAGGTTAGGCCTTTACAAGTTGTGAAAAATATTAGATTCGTATTGATGTTTATTTTTATGTGTTAGGTAATGAATGCATTTTTTAATCGTGATTCCTATTTATTTACCATATTAAACTATATATTGGTATTTAAAAAAAAGTATTGGTCGTTACAGTTTTAGTGTTTTTCCTAACA